AACCCTCCTACTAATCCTTGCGTTTTCCACGGACTGATTGGATAAGTAGTCTTTAAGCTTTTTCATACTGAAGAAAACCCAGGTCTTTTGGTGTCACAACTTCCAGGATTAAACATTCTTTCCAGTTGTTGGCTCATGGCCTGAAGATCCTGCACTTTCAAACTTATCCCATTCTAGCTAGTTCAAAGATCAGGAAAATGAAGCCATCTTCTTTGCAGCCATAATCCACGACCCATGCTGTTAGATACTTAAGAACATCTCAAAAGCAAACTACCTTGTTTCAGCTCCCAGCGGGAGCTCAGCAGGGCATTGGATCACATGACTGCAAACCCTACCTAGTCAGGTGACTCAATAGCTAATCTGATTTGGTGACTATAAAACTTTAATCAGCACAGTCTAATACCATCACATTCCAGAACTGATGAGGGAAGCAGCTTGGCGATGTAACAGCAACACTAATAAGATTATGAATTAGGACTGCCATTAGGATGCAGTTTTCTAGTTCTCTATCCCATATGTAAACCCAACAGAAAAATATTACTGAAAACTGATCAGGCAGACATATGGCTTTGAAACAAAATGCACTGATATGTTTTATTCCAAAAGGGATAGCATTTTGCCTATTGCCACAGAAGGACAAGAGCATACACTGAATCTTGTAAGGCACAATTAAAACCAAGGAAAATAAAGTATGTACATCAATAACATGGTCTCGTTGAGAAACACTGCTCACACAATACAGCCGCAGCTTGCATTAACTGAAGGTCCTAAGAGTTTACATCTGCAACCCACGCAGGCTGCATGCAGTAAACAAAGAAGAGAGGCAGTGACAGCCACAACAGGTGTCTTTCCTCTTATCAAGCAGATATATCTAAAGCATACTTTAAGAAGTGCTGCTATTTTGGGGACACTAGGATTTTCACCAAATCCGTAAGCTACAGCTTTTGAAGAGAAGCTACAAACATACTTGCAGATGAAATTCCAAGCATACCTCTTCCCAAATGTTTTGATTGCTCTCTCAGTCACCCATTGTTTCCCTCCATTTTTTCCTTAGGGAATTCTCACCCAAAATCCTCTTAATCCATCTTAGAATCTGCATTTGGCATAGGTAAGTAGTTGAATTGGATCACCAAGTTTACAAAAAATGGAAAAGAGAGTGCTTGATTTCTTCATACTAGAGTTAGGATTTGCAGTTAAAATTGACATAAACATTTAATCAGGTCTACATGATAATATGTGAGCTGCGAGAAAGAAAAGCTGATTATTCTATGGTTTAAGACATCCCAATCTGGACACAAAGGTTTAAACTTCTCCATTTTACAATGAGCTGAGTATGACCATAGTTGCCATAGCTCAGCTGACAAGAAAAAACTTGCCAAGACATTTCCTGATCACTTGCAATCATTTCCGTGTTTGGTTTCTCTGCATTTCAATTCCACCCCTAGAGCAAGAATAGTAGGACCTATCTACTTACTACTGTGTATTTGAGGATGAGGGGGTTTTTTATATATAGTAATACCTAGAATTACAATTCCTGCGGTCTTGCTTTCTGTCAGACAGCCCCTAGTGGACCTTTTACAATGGCTGGAAATTCATCTTTTGGAAAGTGGACATGTGAACATAAGCAAACCTTTAGTATCATTCAAAGAGAGTGAAAAAGCTATTATTCTTCCTGAAAATGAAACATCATTGACTTAAAGACATTTCCATAAAATTAGTTTCTTCTATACTCATCTGAAATGAAATGCAGGTTAAGTCAGGTATTTTAAGTGGTGTTTTTATAAGCACATATTCATTTGTAAAGCTTTATTGTATTAAATAAATTTTAAAAAAAATTAAATCTTTGAAAAATTGCTTATTTCCACCTGCCTTCTAAATCAATAGGACTTTAACTGTAACCATCATCTTAAAAGGTAACAGAGGAAAAGTGAACATTACAAACAGAACTACTGCAGTACCTTTTAACATTCAGTTCTTACACTGAAAAACTATTTCTACTTCTCGATTTTTTTTTAATATCTGAAACAGTCTCTCCTGTTATTAGTTACAATGCAAGAGACAGTTTCTCTGTATTTCAAAGGATGTCAACTCACAAAATTTGTAACAAATATATCACTTTATTTAAAAATACATGAAATTCTGAAATAGCTGCAAGCTTCACAGTCAGCAAGAGGTGGAAGGTTCAGCTACGCCCTCCCCACTGTGTGTATATGCCCTTTTCCTTGTTGCATCAACTCAGCAGTACAACACAAAATGAAACTATTAAGAAAGTCGATAGACGGTTCCAAGTCAGATTAGTGAGCTGAATTAGCTCAAGAAAGGATCTGACAAGCACCAGGGTTTGTTGGACTGGAAGCAGAGGAAGAGGAAATGAGACTTCCTTTTTTAGTAACACTGACCTATTATATCAGCTCAGGAGATGCTGAGATTTCCAGTAAACTTGCACTTTAATCAAGAAACTCTAAAAAAGGTAGCACCACAGCACAAGTATTCCCAATTGCAAATACTTTCATTATGTGGGCTCCAAAATTAAAGAGAAAAAAGAAGGAATTATTTAGCCTCTAGTTTTAGTTGCCCTGTAGGAAAATGAGGTAAGGAAAAAAGCATAAAAACTACCTGTCAGAGAAGTACTAATGAGAAATGGAAAAACAAAAGAGAGGACTTAGCCCTGGATGGATGTTTACACCTATACTGTAAAGTTAATGCAACCTATATTAGTCTATTTTATTTAAAAAAAAAAAAAACAAACAAGCAAGGAAGTACTTTGTCTCACTGAAGTAACAAAAGGAAATGTACTACTTGGAATGGGGAAAACAATAATCACTGAGACAAAGTGCATGTAGTATGTAATTTGATTCTTTTTCTGATAGGTAAGTGGTAACTTATCAAGGATAACCTCATTGGGTTACAAGCATTTTATTAAAAAAAAGTTCTGTAAGATATACTGCAATTTTTAATAGTGTTACACACATGTGCAAGCACTCATATCTGAAATATTTAGGTATCCAGACTCCAGAATGACAGTACAGTAAGAAATGGAAGAGTTGACATGATGTTTTAAAAGTGGAGAGCTCTGTAAGTTTCAGTCTCCTCACTCAATTATACAGAATTTACACCATAGGATCCCACTGACAATACCAGATTCTTGAACTCTTAAAAAGAGCTGTGAATTATGCCTTTATTTTGTTAAAGTCTTTCCTATTGCAGACATTCACAAATCATTAGTCAGATCCTACAGAAGTGACATTTAATAGGTATAGTTATTTCTCACCATGTTTTCAAATGCATCCTTTGATTTTTTCCTCTAAAGACAAATACTTCTTTCACTGAACAATAATCTACATTTGAAATTAAATAGTTCTTATTCAGTATTTCACAGTTTAGCAGCAAATATAAAACTTTTAAGACAAACTCTTGCTACTCGTGATAAAAGTCTTAAAAATGTCCACTGCCTAACATGTAAAGAAGCTTGGCCAACAGCCAAACAAATGTCCTCCTAGCTGGTGAAATTGCATAATACTGAAACTCCATGCTCCTGAGTTTGAATTTGTTATGAAGGAAAAACTTCTGAGGTTCAGGATCATTAACATATTGTTGCTCTTTCTTGCTGGTCATACTTAATATGAGGATTTTTTTTTCCTCAATTAAAAAAAATGGCTCGACAACACAGGTGTTCAAAAACCATGGCTTACAGCAATAACAAAAATCATTCACTGAGATTAAAGATTGAGAGTGGGGAATTATAACATTAGAGCCTCATTAGTACATCCTGCTACGTGCAATTGTCTTCAAGTAGCTTGGGATGCATCTGAAGTACCAAGAGATTAAAAAAATACACAAATACTTGTGATAGTGGCTATTCTATATGCACATAGGGATTGCTCTTAAATTCAGAGTACTATAACAAAGTGTTGATATACAAAGCAAGCATACTAAAATTTTTCATTAAGATAAGAAGCATTTTAATGTCTTTGTATATTACATGAACAGAAAAGGAAACATCAAGTTCAGATATCTCACCAATTTTTACACATACTCAGTTTAGGGCAGTTGTTCGCTGCCACGTACAAGGCCACAGGCTACTATCTACAAATTGCTAATAAAGAGTAAAGAACATGCTAATCTTCCAAAATACACAAAAAACTTTCTGTGGTATTAGCAACGGATTCAACAGTAAATGCTCCCCCCCCGAAAAAAGCACAGAAATCACATTTCTCACACAAAGCAACTTTTTCTGCTACAGCTCTTAACTTATGACATGGTCCAGAGCCATCACACTGATGCAAGATCTCGCTTCCAAGTGAGAGGTCTTAAATCATACGTTTATTACAGATCCGCGGCTATTTACAAACAAGAGAGGGACTCCAAGCACGCTTACATACTGTGTTACATACAGCTACTTCGAACACCGTGAGAAGAAGAAGAACGTTTCAGAAATACTTTTGCCGTCCTGCTCGCGTCCGGGCTGGCACACGAGGACGGCTTGTTTTTGAAGAGGGTGATGCCGACGGCTCGGCACAGAGACTGACGAGGTAACCCAGGGGTGCGCCGGCCAGGCCTCTCCCTTCACGACTCGCTCTGCTTCGAGCCTCACCGACGCCTCGGCCACCCCAACCCCCCTCCCCGAGAGGGAAGCGGGGCTGTCCCCTCCGCAGCACGGCCGAGTCACCGGCACCGCACTACCCACGCCTCCTCACGCCGGCCCCCCCGCCAGGGCGGGACGAGGCGCGGCCGCCGCCTCCCGCTACCGGCCCCCCTCAGCCCCGGGACCCCCCGCCGAAGCGGCCCCCCGCGCCCTCCGGCCCGGCCCCGCCACACTCACCTGCCTGCTCGCTACCGGGCGCCCTAACCCTTCCCCCGCCCCCTTGGCCCGGGACGTGCAAACAACGCGGCCTCCCATTGGATAGCGCGTCTCCCATGCCGCTCTCCCATTGGTGGAGAGGAAAGGGCTCGATTCTTCCCGGCGTCCCCTCGCTCCTGTCAACCGAGAGGCAGCCGAGATGGCGGCAGCCCCAGCGGCCGGCGGGGCGGCGCGGGGCCGCGGGGCCACCAGCTTCCAGCGGAAGGCCGCGGCCGGCAGCCGCCTGGCCGCAGTCGCCGGCACTCGGCCTTCCGTTCGCCACGGGCAGCTGCTGCTCTCCAGCGGGCTCCCCTCCCTGGACTGTGTGCTAGGTTGGTGGGGAGCGGGACCTGGGACCCGGGACCCGGCTGCCGCCGGCCCTCCTCCCCCGCCCGGCGGCCCTCTCCTTTGCCAGGGCCTGTCATTTACCTTCCGTGACCCCGCAGCTACTCCCGCAGGCTTTTCCTTCCTCCCCACAGTTCCCGGGATCGGGGGGAGGTCGGGGAGGGGGGGGAAGAGGAAGGGGCACAGCGGGATCCGTTTCCCGCCTTGAGCCCCCCCCGCCCCCGTGTGAGGAGAAGGGAGGCGGTGCGGGCAGGTGCGCCCGCTTTGATGGCTGCTTGCGGAGGGGAAGATCGCCCTTTACCCTTCATTTAAACCGGTTTCAGCAACCTCTCCGGAGTGGGAAGCCACTCTGTAGATTTACGTAGAAACACAGTCCTGTCGTATTGCAAACGGTCACAGTAAGGGGTCTGAAGTTTTCGGTTTTGAAAAAAAAAAATGTTTGCTGAATTAACCCGCAGTTGAACGTGGTGTAGTTCTGGTTCTTCAGTATGGCAATTTTTAGGATGCATTTGGCCACGAGATTGGATTCTCAGTGTGCCTTTTCTGTCTTGCTCACCACTGGTACATCATTATAAGTGCCCCGTTTAGATAAGGTACGCTGGTGTGACGCTGTTCTTACTGTCGGTGAATCTGCTTTTGCCTGCTGTCAGTGTCAAGATGTCAAGATGCAAGTCCAATTCCTTGGACTGATCTGTTGTGAACCATTGCTATGTTATAATCTGTGGCATGAACTAGCATGGCTTACTTGGATTGGGAACTAATTCGTTTTGCTCATATAAACAGCGTGTTTTATCTGTATGCACGAGGGATGCATGATCCTTTTACTAACTAGTGATACAGTTGCAGTACATCTTCAGTGTACCTAGATGGGACTACTTTTAGGTGAGGAAGGCTTGACTTTAGCTTTGTTCGTTCTTCCTTGGAAGAGTACATGGAATATAGGAAATACCACTTTTCTTTCTAAGGATATTTTATATGAGTAATGATAAATATAAAAGTTGTATCCATTTAAGTTTTTTCAGCCTGTGTATCTTAAGCAGAATCACACTTCTGTATCTTTTGTGTGTTTGTGCGTCTGGTAGGGAACACCTGTACTTTCGTCAGGGATTTGCATCCTTGTGGAGAAAGCTCTTCCTCCTTAAGAGAGAAGTATTTCATTAAGCGAGTGTAATTTGTGAACCCCTTTAATTGCATAAATATAAGATTTGCATTGAATATTCCGGTTCTTCGTATTCCCTTTTATAAACAGTGGATTTTGCACAGCATGGGTCAGATATAGACAGTTCCCATGGTGGCAGTCTCCTAAATGTCCAGACACTTGCTAACATAATTAGTGGTTTGTTATGGAAACTGGGGACACTTCTTCCCGTAAACCCAGGATCCCTTCTAAAGCACCCTTTCCTTGTCTTTTAAATATTCAGTAATTTCCTGACCTTAACAAGTTTTACACTTAAACGTCAAGAAAGTTCTTCAACCCTAGGAATAGCAGCTTTTGAAAATACTTTTAAGATAGTTTCTGGGTTGTGGCATCTTTGAAAAAATGGAAAACTCTCTATTCCTATGTTAAATCTTTCGTAACCTCCTAGCCCTTAAATCACTGATTTCTGGAGGCTAAGTGGGTAGGCCAGGAAAGACTCATGCCAAACATGCTGTACTATAATAAAATTTCCACTGACACCAGGTATTAGGCATTGTTGGAGACAGACCACCCAGCTAGACTGTACAGACCGGACCTGTACAGAATCATCGATTTTGGAGGCTGGGGAGAGACCTCAGGAATTCATCTACTGCAATCTTAAAGCAGGCTCAGGACTGAATTCAGAGTTGGTTGCTCAGGGCTTTGTCCATTTGAGTCTTGAAAATCTGCAATGGCAGAGATTTCGCAGCCTCTCTGGACAACCCAGTCCAATGCTTAGTTATGTCTGTAGGGAATTTTCTTTTTCCTTATATCCACTTGGAACTTTTCCTGTTTCAGTTTATGCCTGTTGTTTCTTGCCCTCCCACTGTGCACCTCAGCAAAGAGCTAAATTCTCAGTAGCTTCTCTTGGGTACCAGCAGGCTGCTAGTAGATCTTCCTCTCTTCTCCAGGTTAAACAAGCCCAGTTCCTTCAGCCACTCCTCTTGGGTCATTTGCCCCATCTCGGTTCCCCTCTGCTGGACTCACTTAAGTTTATGTTTACTTCTTTCTTGCACCGAGGGGCCCAAACTGGACATTGTATTCCAGATGTGATCTAATGAGTGCTGAGTAAAGGGGAATAGTCACATCCCTTGACCAACTGTCTGAGCTTCTGTTGATGCAGCCCACTATGCTGGTGACTATAGAAGTATTGTACTTGGTCTCCTTTGTGTCCTTTTTGGGGGTGTGTGGAAATGTTTCATAAATGTCTTGCAGATTGCTGTTTATGTGTTTCTTAAAAAATGCTTGCTTTTCTCCTTTCATCTTGGCCACTAGCAGTTAAATAATTGACTGTACAAAATATTTAATTTTATTGTCACCAGGGACTGAGGACAAACCTTTCGGTATAAATTCCCAATGAAAGTTACTATAAACTGGTTTAGTCTGGTATTTTTCATAGACATATTTTTTAATGGTCACCAGGCAGTCTTCTAGATATCTCGCTTTGTGCCTGGGTTTAAATTTGCCTTGTCCAGAAGCTGCAACCCAGATACAGTATTATTTGCCAGACATGAAGATATAGCTTATGAATAAGTGTGAGTAAGGGAAACATGGTGTCATCAGACAGAGGTCTAATTAGGAACTTTTGAAGAGAAGAAAAGGCAGAGGATACCTGGAGGAATTTCTTTTACTCTACAGCTACTGTCTGATTTGTTACATTATTGTTGATAGCTAGGTCTTCTTAATAAATGCATTTCTTTTCAAAAAGAAGTGGTAGATAAATGCTGGATTTCAAATGCTGTGTTACCATTAAGATGTTCTTTACATCTCCAGCCTTCATATTCAAGTTTACTTTCAAGGTTTATAGACCATATATGCTTGATTTGTGCTGAAGCAGTTCTCTGTAATGAGCTGCAATATAACCATCACATGCTTGGTATTGAACGTTTTGTTTCAAGCTGCTTGGAAAGAGGTCACAGATATGCTTTGAAAACAATGGGGACACTTATCAACTTGCAAAGTTTGTTGCGTTTCTGTCCATAAGATCTTAAATCTTATTGCTGTAGGTAGCAATGCGGAAAGTTAGAAGTTTTGCTTAGTTGTTTACGTGTACCACTGCCTTAGATACTGGCAAAGAAAAATTAAAATAGCAAAATTAGAAAGAATTACAAGTTCACAGCAGTTTTCTTAGGAAACTTGAAGATTTTACCTCTTTCTTTTGATTCTGTCAGCATTCCTGCTACTGTTTAATGTCATCTGTTTTTTGCTTAATTTACTATTGTTGTTGTTCATTGTAATATGAATATGTAACCATGGTAACTGCAATAATTTTACATTCCATCTAATAGAATACACTTGTTCAAACTGTTCACTACATCTGATAATGTAAAGCCAATCCTCTGACCTGAGTTTGCCTTTAGCAACCAGGGTATGTGCACATATGTTACAACTCTGGCTTGTAAAAAGAGACAGTACAATTGATGATCTGCAAATATTGCTTGTGAGAATTTCAACTGCACTGACATACTGTTTGACAAACAAATTCTCTCTTGTGCAAGCAATTTAAAAGCAGAAGAGACTACTTCTGCGGTGGCTACAAGTGAGATTTTTATAACCGAGATTTTAAGTCCTCATTGCCATGAGGTAATACATTACTTATGGCTATTTTAATCATCTTTTCTATGTCAAGCTATGATTTGGTAAAATCTCATAATTTTGAGCTATTTTTTTCTCTGTGCTATATAGAACGTGCTAACAACTGTTGTTAGTAACCTGTGTGTTCTGTCTCCCTGAGAACTGAATGCAGTGAATATTGGAAGCATACTTTGTACCAACCACCTGTATGATTTCTGATTTTGGTCTTTTTTTCTCCTTTCTCCTGCAGTACGTCTTTTGGGTTAATTTGCATTTATCTCCCAAACAAATAAAATGAAACAAAAATTGGTAGATTAGAACATGGGGATTTCATGAGTGATTCTAACTTTCCGGTAAATTACTTACAGTTGGGGTTTTTTTAAATATCTAGGAAATGCTTGATTGCTTGATAAGCTTGCTGTAAATATTGAGGCATTTGTACATCTTGACTCAGGAGCATAGCTTAAAAAAACTGTGATGTGTTGAACTATAACTGTGAAGTTAGTAGCTGACTAAACATGCACTGTGATGTACTGCTCAAATTGTGGTACATCATGACATGATTGCAAAGTGATTCTGTTGTGGTTTTAATTCAGGTGTTATTATGCAACAATATTAGCATTTTTTTGGCCTGTGGGAGAGAAATTTGCTTTTTCTCCTCCTTCTGGGTATATATCACCATTACAGGTGCTACAGACATTTGTAGTCCCACTAGCAGAGCTAAAGATTAAGAAGTTGATCCAATCCCTATTAGAATCAATTTCAAGTGAACTTTATGGAGCTCTTAAATTGATAGACTGAATTATCCTGTTCACTAGAGTCTACCTATGCAGTCCAGAATTGACTTCTTTTATCAGGAACTTTGGATATTGTGCTGATGTGATTCAGTTTGCTCCTAACTTGCTTTTAAAGCAGTATGTAGGTGCAGAAGATACACTGCAGTTTCCTTCATGCAAAACACTACAATAGGCTGGTTACATATGGCCATCTGAACACTTCCAGCAATTTTTGGCTTTCCTGTCACAGTCTTATATGATTGTTCAACAAAATATTTGTAGCCTGGTTTCAAGTTATTCCACTATTTTCAGTCTTGGAATGCAGATTATAAATCAGTTTACTCTGCACCTAAAATAAAATATTAATTCTTTTACCATCTTTGTAAAAATTCCTTCTTGGGACAACCATTCAAACCACTGTTACATAATTATGCTTGCTCTCTCTTCAAGGAGGAAATAACACAGTCAGGATGGGAGTTCATAGATTATTTTTTCTGGTCCTCCACACTGTTGAGATCAATGGGATAAGCATCTATGTATCAAAACATATTGAGAGTATTCTATTCTGTCTATTATTCATTCAGTCATCTGTGATTGGAACATAAGCATCGATTGTAATTGTTTAAGCAGAAAGAAAGAAAAATAATAGTGGCCATGTATAAATCTGTCAAAATGTATTTTTATTTTTGAACAAATATTTCAATCAACTGCATTCATAGAGTTGTTTTTATGTCCAAGACATACTATAAAAGACTTTATAGTATATTTTTTTTCAGATATGTTACGATGTTTATGATCTGTCAGTCCAGGTTTCATGGGGTGAAATCCTACCTGTCTTATTGCTATGTCTGTTTTCAGTAATAAGATAAAAACTAGTGAAGCCAGGATTTTGCCTCATTGGCTAGCATGGGAATTTGCTAGCCTCTTAGTAGGTCACTTTACATACTTGGTTCTTGGTACAAACAAATATCACTTGATAGTGATTAATACAGATTTAATTTGGAGAATGTTTACTCACTTGAGTCATCCAAGTGAAAATTCGCTAGCTCAGACCATACATCATTATTGTAGTACTTGAGCGTAGTTGCGTAGAGCTCTGCAGGATCTTTTTACCACAGTGATGATAGTACAGTATATTGTGAAAGTAATTGTAATGTGTAATATATAATTACATGTAATGTATAATTATTTCATAATAGAGAATTGTAGGAAGTATTGCAAAGGTAATTAAAATGTTGTTCACTTTTATATTTTTAAATTCCCCGTTATCACCTTTCTTTGACTTATAAACTAAGAAAACTTAATTGTTCTCTAACATAGTATTAAAATGTAGTCTTACTTTATTCTTAATTTTGTTTTGTTTCCAGGTGGAGGCGTAGCTGTTGGAACCCTTCTTCTTATTGGTTAGTATAGAATATATAGATACTTAAAGCCATATTTTGATGTGTTTTGCTCGTTTTAATGTATTTATCAAATAACCTGCCTTTTCATTGTTTTTTAAACTCAGACTTTAAGAAAGTATAACTCTCAGGCCCCTTCACTTTGGATAGCCTTTGGAGTGGACTGTTGTCTATTTCAAGAATTACTGGAGGTGGATCAGAACCTTACTTTTAGATAGGTTTGAGCCCCCAAGAAGAATACCACAGAATTCTGTTTGAAAGCAGGGTGTTTAGCAAATGTCAGGACTTTCTAGGAAAATTTTCAAATTGTTTAAGATTTTCTAAACTACTTGATTTCCTGTAAGATTCAGTCTGTTTATCATCATGAAGGTGTTGTTGTTTTTTTTAATTTGGCTTTCTGAGGAAGATGTGAAATACAGAATCTTTTAATCTTTTGGTTGCCAGAGTCAACTAAGAGAAAGCTGATGGAAGCCTGCTTTCCATTAGGATGTGGATGAGGCACACTGAGATGATTAAATAGGTTACAACAGAATTCCCTTTGCAGACTACATTGAAACTGGCTGGTACCATGTCTCTATTGCAGCTGAGATGCCCAGCTTTCTTTTCTGTTTAAAGCATAGCAAAGGGGAAGAGGACTGTTGTACACATACATCTTGTCTTCATATCCCCATGGTATGTACTGGACTTAGAGCCAAGAAACATTTCCCAGGACCCTCAGTTTAAGCATAGCAGCCGAAACCACAATTTTGAGGGAAGACTAGCTTCTTACAAGTTAGTCTTGTGTAAGTGCATACAGTTCCAGCATATAAGACGATCATTATTGCAGAAGAGAAATTGAAGGAGATACCATCTGATTTGTCACATCAGTACATTAATCTTGGGCTTCTAAGGATACAGAACTACTTCAAAATGATGTAAGGGCTGAATGATGATAGAAATGTCTTTTTTTTTCCTATTTTAAATGTTTATCAGATTAGTGGTTCTTATGAGAAACTTTCAAGCTTGTTACTTTCCTAGCAAAAAGAACTGATATTACAGGAAAAAAAATGAAAGGTTATTAGAGAAACACCTGTAGTTATGTGGAAAACATCTGCATCTGTAATCTGTGTTCACATCTTAAATAGTATAACAATTTAAATACTGCTTTTTGATACCAAGTTGCTGGAACAGAGAACTAGGAACCTAGGGACAACAGATCTAGCTCTTAGCTTTCCAGTCACTGCAATTTCTCTGAACTGTTGGAGTCTAGAAAGTTGTGTGATTGTTTCTCCCACTAAATAAGGATAAAGTACCTCAGTTTCCTTATTTGTGGGAGTGATGAAAAGACGTATCCCATTGCAAAGCTGTTTGAGCAATGTCTGAGTGCCTACATGTTAAGTGCCAAAAATCCTGCATTAAAGCCTTAAAAATTAATTTATTATTTTAAGTTAAAACAGTGGATTACAGGAAGACAACTGTCAATAGATTTGAAATTGGTAAGTAAAACCTGGAAGGTAAAAGTAAAAAAGGTGTTATTACAGATAAAAAGGCCAGTTTCTCATTGCAGAAGATTGCAAGTGTAGTAAGGCACCATTTTGGCTAAATCCTGAGCTTTTGAACGCTGCACAGGTTGTTAAGGATCAATGCAAAATTGTAAAATGAGAGTGTAGAGACAAAATCTGAAAAACTCACATACAGCATAAGATACAACTAGCAAGAATTATCAAGAGTAATACAGATTTTTCTTAAGTACCTCAGTAGTTAGGAGAAGTCCAAGAGAAGGGCTGGTTTGCTAAATGATGAAGTGGAAAAGCTAGTCATAGTTGTTATTGAGAAAGGGGAAAATTTTAAGAATTTTTGTATTAATCTTTACCCAGAAGAAGCACTGAAATCTCATGATTATCGTAATTCAGAACAGTGACTAGATTTCAGCTTTGCCTAGTGAAAAATTAGACTAGTATATGCCTAGGTGATTTGGGTGGTTTTAAAGAGATTGTGCCTGCAGAGTATTTTAAGAGCTGGCTGATGAAGTGCTAGAATCATTAGTGTTTACTGGTAGAGGACAGTGAAGGAGGGAAAGAACTGGAAGATTAGAAAATACAAATACAGTTTCTGTTTTTCAGTGCTGTTGGAGGAGTTGCTGAATTGCAGGCCTTGAACTATATAGTTCAAAAGAAAACAAGGATTGTGGTGGGTTGACCTTGGCTGGATGCCAGGTTTCCACCAAGCCACTCTATCACTCCCCTTCCTCAGTTGGACAGGGAAGAGAAAAATATAATGAAAGTCTCCTGGGTTGAGATAGGGATAGAGAGAGATCACTCACCAATTACTGTTACGGGTAAACCAGACTTGATTCAGGGAATTAATTTAATTCATTGCTTATCAAATCAGAGTAGGATAGTGAGAAATAAAACCAAATCTTAAAACACCTTCTCCCCACCCCTCCCTTCTTCCCAGCCTCAACTTCACTCCCAATTTCTCTATCTCCTCCCCTGGAGAGGCGCATGGGGACGGGGAATGGGGGTTACGGTCAGTTCATCACACGTTGTCTCTGCCGCTCCTTCCTCCTCGCACTCTTCCGTAGCTCCAGTGTGAGGTCCCTCCCATGGGAGACAGTCCTCCATGAACTTCTCCATCATGAGTCCTTCTCACAGGCTGCAATTCTTCACAAACTGCTCCAGTGTGGGTCCCTCCCATGGGCTGCAGTCCTTCAGGCACAGACTGCTCCAGCATGGGTCTCCCACGGGGTCACAAGTCCTGCCAGCAAACCTGCTCCAGCATGGGCTCCTCTCCATGGGGCCACAGGTCCTGCCAGGAGCCTGCTCCAGCACGGGCTTCCCACAGGGTCACAGCCTCCTTCAGGCATCCCCCTGCTCCAGTGTGGGGTCCTCTGTTCCCCGGGCTGCAGGTGGAGATCTGCTCCCCCGTGGACCTCCCTGGGCTGCAGGGGGACAGCCTGCCTCACCGTGGTCTTCATCACCACGGGCTGCAGGGGAATCTCTGCTCCGGCGCCTGGAGCATCTCCTCCCCTCCTTCTGCACTGACCTGGGGGTCTGCACAGTTCTTTCTTTCACATATTCTCACTCCTCTCTTCAGCTGCAGGTGTGCATTTGGTTTTTTTTTCTCCCCCTTCTTAAATCTGTTCTCCCAGAGGCACTACAACCATCACTGATGGACTCGGCCTTGGCCAGCGGCGGGTCCGTCTTGGAGCCGGCTGGCATTGGCTCTGTCGGACATGGGGGAAGCTTCTAGCAGCTTCTCACAGAAGCCACCCCTGTAGCCCCCCTGCTACCAAAACCTTGCCATGCAAACCCAGTATAAGGATGTAAGTATCAGCCAGTATACTGAACAATCTTTATGAGATAATGAACTTGTGGATAGAGGATAAGCAGGACATGCCATTTATCTTCACTTTAGTAATGCTTCTGACAGTATTTCAAATGACATTCTCATAATCAAAGCTAGGAACCATACTCTGTGTTCATTTCTAATACACATTCTTGGTGTTTATAATGCAAACTAGCTTCTCAACTTAAGAGACTGGCATTGCATCCTTCCCATTATATCCTTCTTGATGTTCTGAAGTAGGCTTTTTACTTCCAAGAAGTTTAGTCTCCTGATCACTTGAAAGTATTTCTAGTAATATTGTTTAGAATTCATTGGCATGAAATTTATGCAAAGACAAAAACATCATGTCTCTAGTGAGAGACACCAGTAGGCTAACAGCTGTTCAGAGTGTGGCTTTTCAGCCTTAAGAAATTTAATTAGTAATATTCAGTCATTTTCTGAAAGGGATCATAGAATCATAGAATTGTTTAGGTTGGAAAAGACCTTTAAGATCATTGAGTCCAACCATCTACTCAACACCACCACGTCCTGAAGTGCCAGGCCTACACGTTTTTTGAACACCTCCAGGGATGGTGACTCCACCACTTCCCTGTTCCAATGCCTGACAACCCTTTCAGTAAAGAAATTTTTTCATATATCCAATCTAAACCTCCCCCGGCGCAACTTGAGGCCATTTCCTCTCATCCTATCACTAGTTACTGGATAGAAGAGACCAGTACCCACCTCACTACAACCCCCTTTCAGGTAGTTGTAGAGAGTGATAAGGTCTCCCCTCAGCCTCCTCTTCTCCAGACTAAACAGCCCCAGTTCCCTCAGCCGCTCCTCATAAGACTTGTGCTCCAGGCCCCTCAACAACTTGGTTGCCCTTCTCTGGACATGCTTCAGCACCTCAAAGTCTTTCCTGTAGTGAGGGGCCCAAAACTGAACACAGGACTCAAGGTGCATCCTCACCAGTGCCGAGTACAGGGGAATAATCAGTTCTCTGCTCCTGCTGGCCACACAGTGTTGTCCCAACATTTTATCTCTGTTTACTTTCTCTGTGGAATGACAGCTGTCACTTGGGAGACTGCATTGGTATCTAGAATTTTGGTTTAATATTTTGAATTGTTGTAATATTTTGAATTAGTCTTAACACTAAAGAACCTAACAGTAAGATCTGGGGAGAGCTTATTTGAAATCTGGTTTAGCCACTATTGGGATCACATCATGTTATCTTTTGTTGGTTTAGGGCTCATGTGAACCTGCACTAAAGGCTGAACAGTATTTTGTGTTTGCCAGAAAGCAAGGTAATTGCTCATATTATGGCTTTTTGTTACTTTAAGGCTATTTTTTTATTTCTCCATTTTATCCATTATTAGAGACAGGTCTTGTTGCCTCACTGAATCTTAGAAAATCTTGATTTTTACATGAAGTGTATAAATTAGCATATGTTGTGGTGCAGATTAAGTAATTTGAATAGTTGCCTGCCAGAATTTACCTAATTCCATATAGGCCACCATTTGTCTAATGGCTACCATTTAAGTTCAGATTTTTTGAGAAAACTGAATTGATACAGCAGTTCACTATTGCTGAAAGAAGTTCTCCAAATCCTTCTCCCCTTTTTTGGCTGCACAATCTTGTTGTTCCTTGAGCTGGCGCTAGTGCTTTTCAACTCTCAGCTCTCCCAAGTTGACAGA